CTTTCCTGAATGAATGTCGAAAGGAATTATTAAGAGCTTCAGTTTAAGCCGTAATATCTTTGCACAGATATGTATGTCCTAGTGACACGGTATTCAAAATGTTTTAAAGCGCAATATTTTATTAACCTTCTTTTTTTCTTCTTCTTCTTTTTTCTCTCTCTCTTTTTTTTTTTTTTTTTTTTTTTTTTTAACTTGTACCAAAGCGTTATGCAATGCTTAAAAGTTTTAAAAGATCCGCAGAGTATTGCGTTGAAAATTGTGCATCCATTTATCGATTATATTCGCCATTATGCTATATATTTCACGTCGACCAGAATTCCCAGCTGAATTTTAATTATCACGAATTAAAAATTACGTATTACGTGAATAAATCGTAAATTTCGGAAATATTGAATACGTCCATACATATGTATATATCTTTATACAATACATTTATTCAAAATACAATGTTTCGAGCTGTAAATGTTGAAAAAGAGAAAAAAGGAAAAGAAATAGAAAGAAAAAAAAAAAAGAAAAGAAAGAATTGCATTACGCTAATCTATATATTCATTGCAAAGATAATGGGCTTTCATAAAGTGTTCATATATTCGAAGATAAGCTTGAATAGAGGAGTTCGAGTCATAGAAGTTTCGTAACGAGCCGATAATATCGATGTATCTTCGAAACGGTGTCGCGACAACGACGATTACGACTCCTCGAAACGAGTCGTGGCCTTTACGGTTTCCGCACAGCGCAAATTATTTGTGCGACGTCGTCGTCGTCGTCGACGTTGTCACGAGATCGCGCATTCGTGCCGCAACCGGCATTCGTGTTCTTAAGTAGTTTGCGAACTTCTAGACGTTACTCAAGTTTCTATCTTATCGTACATGACTCTCATTGGGGTGTTTCTGTTAGTCGAGGGTAGGTAGCAGAAGGCGTAAGGGTAGCTAGATGGCAGTTCAATAGATGAATGTAATATGCAATAACTTCACTATAGGCCGGGAATTTAATGATTCTCGGTGGGAAATGGAAAATCGAAATACTGTTGGCTTTCCAAGACTACTAGACATTTTTCCCTTGTCAAATGCATGTTTGAGTTTCTCGTAAATTCATTCCTCCATCGAGGAAGGGAAACAAAAAAAAAAAAAAAAGAAATGAAAAAGAAAAAAAGCTGGGTAATTGCATGAATCTGGAGTCAAAGTACTGCAAATTTTTCTTTCAAACTTGTTTTTTCCCCACAACATTTGCCTCAATCGTACGTGCCTGAGCCTTCATTTTTTAATATAAAGATAAACTGGTACGAATGGTCGATAGGGATAGGATAGAAATCGCCGTGGAATTGTGAAAATAAAGCTCCCATTTTGCAATATCATCGTTCGTATGAAATTTATTTTTGCCAACTCTCATTGCGACCAACGGATTTACCGAAAGTAATAAAGTACGCGAAATACGAACCGGGGTTGATGCGCGTGCATGTCAAACGCGGTGGTGCATGTGATCGCGCATACCGTTGTATTTTATTAAAAATATCTCAACTCTTGCGAAAAAAATAGGAGCTTACGGTTACTGCCCGTTTACGAAAAAATATTGCTAGTTTTTAGGAAAAATGAAAATAAATAAAAAGAAAATAAATAAAAATAAATAGGAAGGGTATATAAGAATAAAAAAAAAAGATATTAAATTTAACAAATCGAAAGGCAAAACCAGCCGTTGGATTTGGCGTACTAATTATCTAATTAAGCGTAAGTCCGTTGGTTCCCGAGGGGAAGAAGACATAGAGGTAGGGGTGAGAATTTTCTGACTACTACTCTTACTCTTCTCATTCCCTTTCTCTTTCTCTCTCATTCTCGTGTTTCGCGGTACGACGTAAATTCGTTATAGCGAGCACACCGAAGCTGCGGTTTATACATCGGAAGCTCTCGGTGAAAACACTTTGGTGTAAAAACAGAGTTAGTGGCGTAATCCCTCCGCCCACATACTCCCTTTCATCCCCTCTGCCGTTTCCCGACATTCTCTCTCTCTCTCTCTCTCCTCTATCTCTCTCTCTCTCTCTCTCTTTCTCTCTCTCTCTCTCTCTCTCTCTCTCTCTCTCTCTCTCTCTCTCTCTCTCTGTCTTTCCCTCTTCGGTTGCGTCGTTGATGGGGTACGCTGAGGGTCACAGGGCCTGCAACGCGCTGGATTCAGGCTCTTCCTGTCTTAGTGGTGTGGTGTTACCATGGTAACAGACTGTAAGCCGCTTAACACCACCCCCGTTACACCCTTCTGAATCCTCCAGACCTCGGCATAGAGTCAACCCAAGCCCCAGAGTTCGTGATACTCACGGCAACGACGATGTTGCTCGTGTTAGTAAATGTCCTAGCATGGCTGCTGTTGCTGGTGCGTCGATGGTGATCGTATATATATATATATATATATATATATATATATATATATATATATATGTATGTATGTATATATATATATATTCGCCTTCTTTTTATCTTGTCCACGACCACACGCACATTTTCACATCCTCGTTATAACGAAGATCTCTCGAACGAAAAGGTTATTCTATCGGCTAGCCCTTAGCCTATAATGGTTTTCACGAATAATGATGCTCATGAAAAAAAAAAAAATAAGAAAAAAAAGAAAAAAAAAAAGAAAAAAGAAAGAATCTCTTTTATATCTACGAGAAAGTCGATAGCCGTCGCATAAAATCCTTTAATTTTTCTTTCTTACAAATTCTCTCGTTCTACGTACTTTCCCGAGAGATTAAATGGTACGAAACAAAGATAGAAAAATAGAGACACGACAGTCTAGGGTAGATCGTGAAGGGACATCGAGAAAAAGTAGTAGAGGTGGGGATGCGGATGAAAAGAAATTGCGTTTCGGAGCCGAGCACTTTAGGGAGAGCCGAGGATCGAGTTGGAGCAAAGAAGGGGAAAATGGTAGATATAGAAAGAAAAAGAGGGTGAGGATGTACATCCGCAAGAGACGCAGAGGCGTGTGCACTCTCCTGATGAGGAATTGAATGGAGGGCGAAAGCCACCCTCGAAAGGAGCGAGCCGTCGGGCATTCTCTCCCTGTTATTTTCTCATTTTGAACGGGTAGAGCTTTCTCTCGCGACGTACGCCGATTCCTCTCGCCCTTTGTCGTTCTTTTCGCGTGCAACATCCCAAAACAAAGACTAGGCCGAGTGGTAACGTTTCTTCTCTTCTTATTTCATCTCTCTCTCTCTCTCTCTCTCTCTCTCTCTCTCTCTCTCTCTCTCTCTTTCTCTCTTTCCTATTCCGTAATCTGCCAAAGAAAAAAAAAAAGAAAAAATAATCAGAAAAAAGGAAACAGAACTTCGATGCTTGAAAATTCTTCGTCCAGTCTTTACTTTTTTATTTTATTTTATTCTTTTTTCTTTTTTTTTTTTTTTTTTTTTTTTTTTTTTTTTTTTTTTTTTTTTTTTTTTTTTTTTTTTTTTCGTTAATCCATAATTACCGATTGTTTTAATGACAAGACTTCGATTTCATTGTCGCGTTTCGTTTTATGTTTATAATATGAACCATGTCCATTGATCTTCCAAAAGGTACCTATGAGCTCGTTGAAAAGTAAATGTGTACATAACACACACACACATATATATATATTATATGCAATTCGCGGCCATCTCATATACATTTGTTCATAACTAATCCCCGTCTGATGCGTAACGAGCGCGAGCCGTCCTCTTGGTGGCAATTAATTTATGTTAAAGTCATACAAATTAATGAAACGCTCACGTACGCGTGACACCACCGACATTTTATCGTCGATCCATTAACGCCTACCATTTGGATCATTCCTCCTGTTCTGCATTATCATTCGCTTTGTAACGAGCTTTATTTATTTTTTTATTTATTTCTTTTTTTTTTTTTTTTTTTTTTTCAATTTTTTTATTTTTTTGCTTCAACGTTAACCGAGAAAAATTGTTAACGATGATCAACGATTCATCATCGTTTATTCTTTTCTTTCTTGTTTTTTTTTCTTTTCTTTTTTTTTTTCTTTTTTTTTTCTTTTCGTTCTTTTATTCGACGCTTTTTTTCGTTACCTCGACGCTCGTTCTCCAATTAATCATCGACGAGTCCGACCTCGACCGGTTGACCTCTTTGGCGGGTCGCGTCAACAGAAGTTCGACCTCCGATCTCGCAAGAAATTCATAATCCTCAATCGTGACCGAACGGGCTCCTTCGCATGCAACAAATTTAGATTAATTCTTTTGTTATTTTTATCGGTCGATAAACGTATAAAAATATAAACGTAAAATTTGACTATTTCAAATCTTTCAACGTTTATTATTTCTCAATTATTTAAATCAACGTTGATTTTTATTAAAAATTCCACCTGAATATCATATTTTCTATTGCAATCTTATTCAATGTTTTTAACTCTGATAGAAAATCTATATAAAAAGATATTGATCTATCACTTATCGCATTATATAAAAGGCAATTACCTCGAGTAATATCAATTGCATGTATTCTTTACGTCTATGTCATCCTGACATCACAATAATTTTATCGTTATATTGCAATCGAACGGAACGTATTCGTGCTTATGACCGTTGTTAAAGTAAATAGTTTCCTTCTTTTCTTTATTTTTTTTTTTTTTGTTTTTTTTTTGCTTTTTTTTTTTTTACGTAACGCCATTTATCCTCATACGTATTATTGTAATTGCAATTTACGTGGTTCGTTTATTGATTTCTTTAGAACTAGTAATAATTTTAATGACATGTTGAAACATTGATTTCCATTGAAATTAATTTCATTGCAGGTGTAACTTGGTTAATAATTCTTGATTATTTTCCACTCGCGAGATTGTTTCGTACAGGATTCGAAATGAAGGAAAGATATTTATAGGATGAATTACGTATAAAATTATTTTCATAAATACATATCAAAAAAAAAAAAAAAAAAAAAAAAAAAGAAAAAAGAAAAAAGAAATAAAAAGAAAGAAAGAAAGAAAAAATGGAAACGTAACTGTGACATCCTCACTGACTTCAGGATTTCTTTCAGGTCTCCAGCCAGCCAGTACCAAAGCACAGCCAACGTCTATTGGCAAGTCCCACAGACCCAGTTCCGGCGTTCTACCTCAGGGTCATACCCCGGGACCCGGGCCAGGTGGCCAACAAAACAACAGAAGTTTTGCCGCGGCTTTGAGGAACCTAGCGAAACAAGCAGGACCGGCTCCTCAGGAAGAGGAACCTCGTGCCAGTCCCAAGAATCGGGCTCCACCTCCTCTGGTCAGAGGTCCTTCTCCTGCCAAGGTGAGTGATCGCCTTGTACGACCTTTCAGTCTTTTATTTTCTTCTTCTCTTTTTCACTTACTTCCGTCCATTCTTCTTATCCCTTTTTGGTATCCTTTTTCTTTCTTTTTTCTTACCGGAGTGAACGTACTCGAAGTATAGGCTACGACGACAAAGCACTTTCTCGTCGTCGAGTTCTTTGTACAAAGGCAACGTATATGTCTGTAAAGGTAAAAGAATTTATGTCGGTGCAACAGTTCGGATGGAGACCTTAAATGTATTTATAATATGCGTAAGAGAGTTTAGTAATCTTTGTAGAATCTGGATACAGGAATGAACTTTGGAAATGCTAAATTTCCTAAAGATCGAACGATCGTTCCTATAAAATTCAATATTCTCTAGGAAAGAGAAGAAGAATGTAAAGTCAAAGTCTTTTGATAAAGTATAAGCTAGTGAAAGAGAATCTTCAATCATGGCTCGATATGAAGAAAACGTTCATTCTGCTGGAAGAGAGTAGAGAAGCTCGATTTGGTATAATCGAAAGATCAAAGCTTAATTTCCCATTTCTCTCAATTCTATTCTTGTAATTCTCATGAATATATTTTCTTTTTTCTTTTAGCAAAAAACAACTATCGAATATTATAGAAACGTCTATTAAATAATCATTTTAACAAGTTTTTCTTTTTACTATAATAATATTTCATTGATAATAAATGTGTATAATATAAATTTGATTTGATTTGCAGGAACGAACGTCGCACGAAAGAAGGCCGGAAGAAGTACCCTCTTTGTACACGACTGCCAGACCTACTGAAACTAGCAAACATAGCGTGACTGCAGCAGCTTCCGAATTGTTGGCTCGTTCCGGTTTCCAACCCTATCGACCTGAACACCATCCGGCCCATGCTCCGCCTGCCTTTGCTTTGGATCCTGCTGCTTACAACCCTTATCACCATGGTCTTTATCCACCACCACATCTGCAGCACGCTTATAGGTAAATACTTCGATGTGTTAATCGAGAATATTCTAATGATTTTTTGAGATCTATTGGATTTTAATCGACGATATAACATTGGAATCATTTCTCCTTTTTTTTATTTTTGTTCACAGGTTAGAAGAACAATTGTATTTGGAACGATGCGGGATGTTGAGACCACCGTTATTTCCTGGACTACCGTCGTATCCCCTTTATGGGTTAAGATACAGTCCAGACATGCTCCCACCTGCTTCGCTGGGACTCATGTCACCGGTGATGCACGAGCGGTAAGTAAAAAAACTAAAGTCGACTACTATCGACTTCGTCTCGTTTCTTTAATAAAATCTGTTGAAAATCTAGGTATCTCTCACAACGTTCTTGAGATTTAACGAAGCGACGTTTCTCGTTTCAGGTTGAAATTGGAAGAGGAGCACAGGCTGAGACAAGCGCGGGAACAGCAGGCTGCTATACGAGAGGAGGAAGAGAGGAGAAGAGCAGCACGAAGCACTGCTTCCTCTGCCCCGGTACCCGCACCTACACCTGCATCCACCGATACTGCAGGTGAGCGAGTCGCTCCACCCCCCACAGCCTTTCATTAAAAAGAAAGCGTCACACGAAATCGCCAAGATCGCTCATTAACGCGTGAAACCTCTCTTTTCGTCGCTGGCTGCTCTAGATTGATAAAACGAAAAGGAACAAAAAAAAAACAAACAAACGAACACACACACACACACACACACGCACACACACCCCCAAAAAATATCGCGCGACTACTCTCTTTCGCCTTAAATGCTTAACTTATATCCAATCCTCTCCGATATAATCTATCTTTCTCTGTTTCTATCTCTTATTCCCTTCTCATCCCAAACCTAATCGCGTAAAAACGATCACCGTAAGTATTTTCCTACGTTCGAACCATCGACAATCGAGATTTTTTTTTTATCTATTTTAAAACGAAATAATCTATGTTCCATTTTCCACGTTGTTTTTTTTTTTTTATCTTCATCTTTTATTCTTTCCCCCACCCCCTCTCTCTTTCTCTCTCTCTCTCTCTCTCTTTTTTTCTCTCTTTCTCTCCGTTCTCGCTTTTTGCCTCAGAAACATCATCAAGACAAACTCGATGTTTTATACAATGAGTTGTCCTTTCAACATTCTCTTTATTAATCATTAATCTCGTTAATTTTATTATTAATCTTGAAATAAATTAATAAAGTATATATCGGTGCCAAGCGATCGTTCTCTTATTAAGGAATTTTGTTAGTATAACGTAGTACAAGAATCTTCGAGTAAAAGATGAAAAAAGAAGGAAAAGAAAAATGTCCTATATGCTGCGAAAATAAAAAAAAAAAAAAAAAAAAAAAAAGAAAAAAAAAGAAAAAAAAGAAAAGAAAAGGAAAGGAAAAAAAAGGAAAAAAAAAAAAGAGAAAAGAAAATTTCAATCGACTTGTGTTTCGAGCGAGAAAAGAAATAAATTAGACGAAGCAACTGACGAAGCCAAGCGAGGAGAAGTCGTTGTAGAATATATTTGACTGTGACAGAAGTTTCAAAGAAACGAGGAAAAAAAACATACTACGCTTCTAATTTTAATCTAGATATAATTAAACGAGAAAATAAAAAAGAATATAGTCATAGTTAATTGTTTCTTATGGAGGTCAGAATGATATTTTTTAGATAAGCGCACAGCTCGACGATCTAGTTAAGCCTAACGTTCGTTCTTTGACTTTTCTTTCTTTTTTATATTATTTCCTTTTCTTTTTCTTTTTTTTTTTCTTTCTTTATTTTTTTTTTTTTTTATTTTTCTTTTTTATTTTCTTTTTTCCACCTTTTTATTGTCTTTTTTTTTTTTATTTTTCTGTTTCTTTTTTTCCTTTTTTTTTTTTTATTTTTTATTTTTTTTTATTTTCATTTATTTACCTTATTTTTTTTTTTCTTCTTCCTCTTTTTTCTTCTTTCTTCTTTCTGAGAGAGAAGTTCAAAGTAGAACAGTTGGCCTCGCGACGGTCCTGGGTGCTCTCGATCGATTTTAGTGTACTTTAAAAATACTACTTCTATTCTTTTGTTCTTCGTTTCTTTGTGAAAGAAAGAGAGCGTAAAAACCATCTCTGCCTAACCCTCTACGATCTCGAATTTCTTAGGGTTGGGACTGACTGAAACGCGATCAATTTCTTAAGGCCCGATTTAGCGAATTGTTCAGTTCTCACTGCGGACCGAAGTCAGACTTATTCAAAACATTTTGTCGCTAACTTTTATTAGATATCAAGACGAATAATCTAAGTCGGCCTTCGGTCGGCCGTTACCTATTGTCTATATCATGTTCCAAAAATCACTTTGTAGTACTCGAATAAGACCTCTGAATGTACAATTACAGGTTCGTTATATAATTAATCGTTTTATAGTTATATTAAACGTCACAAATGGCGAAACTTAAACATAAGAGTGCACGCCTTTCGAAGAAGGGCTGATTTTTGTTGAATTCTTCATTCTAATTCAAAAAAAAAAAAAAAAAAAAAGGAGAGACAATGTTATTGCGCGTTAGGATTATCTCATTCTTTTTTTTTTTCTTTTTTCTTTTTTTCTTTTTTTTTTTCATTTTTTTTTTTTTTTTTTTGTCATACCATTTATACGTTAAACATTGTTTCTTTTAATTAGATTATAATTTTCTTTCTTCTTTCCCATATCAGAGAATCTTTGTATAGATGTATACTATAAAAAAAAAAAAAAATTTGCATATACTTTACGCAAATTCTTGAAAATTAACATCGTACAAATTGTACGAATACAAAAATAATGATCGGTGGTCACATCAGTCGTCGTAAGCTATTTGTTCATCCTTTGTTTTCTTTCCCTTGTATATTCTAAAGGTCGATGATCGTGTAGTGCTCGTCTTTTACTAATCTGGTGGTGAACCTTTATCAAGTAATTTCTTATTCGTTAAATTAGGTAGCAGGCATTTGTTGTAATACGTGCCAAGACAATTAGACGAAACACCGATTAAATAATCAGTAATCTCATATACGTATATACTAAAAAGTATATATATATAAATATATTAAAATGTGTGTATATATATATATATGTACATATATATATATATGTATATATGTATATATATATATACACACCTTTTCAGGCGCAATGCACTCTTGCGTATTAGTTCCCGCAACTGTTTTAGAAATTTTTGCAAATAATCGCTAAATGTCGAAATAATTTCCCTTAATTGTAGTTAAACACGTTGCTCCTAATACTGACTGAATCCACCGATGTATATAACTTTATCACACATATTCTTTTGTCAAAATTATACCATTTTTATATAATTTATTATGTAAACATGTATATTTGGACTACAATTGAAAAATAAATATTGCAAAAAAATTTGATCAAAATTCTGATTGTACTTGGAATTCTTGACCCTCGCATCATTTTCTGAAACAGTTTTGGGGAAGATTCGATTAATGTTAGTCTGCACTTGTCATTCGGACAACGGTTATTAGAGCGTCATCACCATTATCCATAAAATACATTGGCATTGCTTTTTAATCTTGGCTAAATGATGGTGACTAGCGATCGTCGCCTTCAATCAGCGTATTAGATAGTTTTATTTATTCGTAATCTTAGATATCTATTGTAAATAATCGTAAACGGAAATCATCCCCAATACTTCGAAGCGATTAGATTCAAATATCTTCTATAGCAACGAAAGAGAATATGGATCCCTAAGGTAAGTCGAAGTAGACAATGTGCCGTATCTCAAAAGGATAGCGTTACCCTCTCAACAACCATCGTATACCGGC